GTAGGAGCCAGCACCACTTCTCTTGGAAGTTGGTCCCAGATCCTAGCCACCCTGACTGTGAAGTAGCGCCTCCTGATATTTAGCCTGTATCTGCCCTCTGCCAGCTTGTGACCGTTATTTCTAGTCACTCCTGGTAGTACTCAGGGGAACAGGGACTCCCCCAATGCCTGCTGGTCCCTTCTGACTAGTTTGTAACAGGCCACTAGATCCCCCCTCAGCCTTCTCTTGTGGAGGCTGAACAGGTTCAGGTCCCTTAGCCTCTCCTCGTACGGCCTGCCCTGCTGACCCCTAATCATGCGGGTGGCCCTCCTCTGGACCCTCTCCATGATGTCCACATCCCTCCTGAAGTGCGGTGCCCAGAACTGAATGCAGTACTCCAACTGTGGCCTGACCAGTGCCACATAGAGGGGAGGATCACCTCCTTGCACCTGCTCGAGATGCATCTGTGGATGCATGACAAGGTATGGTTGGCCTTCCTGACTGCGTCACCACACTGCCAAAATGAACATGGGCTGACTTCAATAATGATTCCAAGATCCTTTTCTGCCTCTGCACTGATGAGAAGGGAGTCCCCCAGCCTGTAGGTATGCTGCTGGTTCTTCCTCCCCAGGTGCAGTACCTTGCACTTGTCAGTGTTGAACCCCATCCTGTTCTCATCTGCCCACCCCTGTAACCTGTCTAGGTCTGATTGCAGCCTATTCCTCCCTTCTAGCGTGCCCACATCCCCCACATCTTAGCGTCATCAGCAAATTTGAATAGGGTGCTTTTTACACCCCCATCCAAGTCACTGATGAAGATGTTGAACAGCACAGGTCCGAGAACCGAGCCCTGGGGGACCCCACTGCCCACATCCCTCCAGGTCAAAAATGACCCATCCACCTTGAAAATGACCCGTCCATCAGACAGGTGCCAGAGCTTGGCACCAATAGCAGCCAGCAAGACACACCAGGAAGCCTGGGAGGCTTGCACTGGGCAGCTAGGTCTGATCCTTCCCTTCTGTGGAGCACTCGTGTCCCTGATGCCTAATGCAAGCCTCCCAGGCTGCCTGGCATATCTTGCCAGAGTTCAGCACCAGTGGCAACTGGCAAGATGCACTGGTCAGACCAAGAGGCTCGCACTAGGCAGCAGGGCCCGATCCTTGCTTGCATGGGGTGCTCATGTCCCTGGTGCCCACTGCATGTCCCTCCTTTCCTCCACCTGCCTGTGTCTGTGCTGGCTCAGGACTGACAGTCCAGAGCACCTGAGCACGTAGCAAATGCTGGCTTCTCTCTGTGAGGGAGGGCTAGTGGGGGGAAGCCCAAAGGCCCTTGGGATGCTGGCAAACTGACCTAAATTGAGTCAGGAGGTGATCTGTACTGAAGTTCAATAGGTTGATTTAACCTAAATTGGTTAAGCTGACACTATATCAATCCAGGTCTATCTTAGACTGGGATCTGCCATTTTTAAACCAGTCTATGCGCTCTGAACTTCTATTAAGCATGGACCAGTGGGATTAGGCAAATCTAAAGTTACAGTGTAACAGCTGCTGTGTACTTCCAAAC